ATTTATTTAGTTGCTTATACAAGTACTAAATAAATGCACAGTAACCACTGAGCAGTAGCATCTCATATAGATGTACCCAGAGAGACCTACACACGTTTGAGAATTGGACCAAAAGAAATCTCATGATGTTCAAGAAAGAAAAGCACAAAGTCCTACACTTAAGACAGAAAAATCCCATGCACCAGTACAGGCTGGGGACTGACTGGCTAGGCAGCAGCTCTGCAGAAAAGGCCCTAGCAGTTATAGTGGACAAGAGGCTGAATATGAACCAACAGTGTGCCCTTGTTGCAAAGAAGGTTAATGGCATATTGGATTATATAGGTAGAAGCACTATTAGCAGACCAAGGGAAGTGATTATCTCCCTTTATTCAGCACTGGTGAAGCCACATCTGGAGTACTGTGTCCACTTTTGGGCTGCCTACTACAGAAAGGATGTAGACAAATTGGAAAGAGTCCAGTGGAGGGCAACAAAAATGGTTAGGAGACTAGGGCACATAACTTCTGAAGAGTAGCTGAGGAAACTGGGTTTATTTAGTCTGCAGAAGAGAAGACTGGGGGGGGGTTGATAGCACCCTTGAACTACTAGACCATGGAGCTAGACTGTTCTCAGTGGTGACAGATAACAGAACAAGGAGCAACATTCTCAAACTGCAGCAAGGAAATTTTACATTAGGTATTAAGAAAACACTCTCTCACTAGGAGGGTAGTAAAGCACTGGAACAGGGTACCAGAGAGGTTTAAAAGACCTGGCTAGACAAAGCATTGGCTGGGATGATCTAGTTGGGGATGGTCCTGCTTCGATCGGGGGGTTAAACTAGGTGACCTCCTGAGGTCCCTTCCAACCCTAATTTTCTATGATACTATGATTCTTTGAAGGCAGAAACTTTCCCCTTGCAGTGCTGTCCAACCATTTTTTCCAATGACTGTGTTAGTGGCTCAGCTTTAAAAGCAGTGCCAGAGCCTGAACTAGGTAATGCTTCACCTATGTAAATAGGTGGTTAGTAGGGGTGTGTGAAGTAGGCCTTATTCAATTTGGATTCAGATTTGGACAGTGATTTGATGAATTGGTTCAGATCACTGTCCCTGATTCGATTCAGCTGAATCTGAATCTGAAGATTCAGTGCTCATTTGGAGAATCAGCGATTCAGACATAGACACAGCTTTAAATGTTTTTTCCATGTACCTTGAGATAGCATGAGCAACTCATGAATTCTGTGATGCTGGGGCGGATAGAGTGCCCCACAGGAGTGGTGGGAGGGCCTCCACATGCTCAGTGGTTAACTCAGAAGTGGACCAGAAGTACTTCCAGTCCACTTCTGGGTTTGCCGGGGAGCACGCTGCCCCGCCCTGTCCACCAGCTCAGCAATTGGCCACAGAAGGACCCCAGTTGCCCCCCCAGACCCAGGAGGCACCAGTCACTGAGCTGCGGGGGAGCCAGCATGCTCCCCAGTGGACCTGGAAGTGGACCAGAAGAGCTTCTAGTCCACTTCCGGGTCTGCTGCCGAGCACAGTGGGGAGCCACCTGTGTTCCTGTAGAACACTCCATGCACCCCAGCATCGCAGCAGTCATGAGCCCCTGCTACCTAGAGGTATGTAGAAAAAACATTTAAAGCTGTGTCTATGTCCAAATCTCCAAATCTTTCCAAATCTCTCCTAATTGATTTGAAGGGTTCCAATTTGATTCAGAGAGATTAAACGGTCCTCTGATTCAATTCAGATTCAGAGATTCAGCCACTGAATTGGGCTGCATTTCCACCAAATTGAATCAGGGCCCGAAGTTTTGCATAGCCCTAGTGGTTAGCATACTATCCTGGGAAATCTGAGATGCAGGTTCAAACCTTTGGGTGAGGCAGAGCTTGGCACCGAGGTCCTCTGGCTTCCTAGTTGCATACTCTATCCACTCAAGTACTGGGGACAAAAGAGAAGCCAGCTTGCCTCCCTTTCTTCCATTTTGTTGCCAGTGTGCATGCCCTGTCTACCAGTGTTGATGCACAAATGATCATACAGCCCATGCTGTGAGGAATAGAATTCCTATTTGTGCTTTGACACTTAGACAATCAGAACTGCCATGCAAATGACCAAATCTGAACATGGAGACAACCAGCAAGAAAACACAATACCACCCCTTATAATCTAGATCAGGGGTTCTTAACTTTTTCAGACTCAGGTATCCCTCCATAACTCTTCTGAATTTAGTGGCACCTTCCATGGATACAGGCAGAGGGAGTCCCTCCTTTTCCATGCACAAGAGAGACATGCCCCCTGCCTTTGCCTAAATGCCTGAAGACCAGGGGGTGCTCCTTGCCTGCAAAAAAGTGCAGGGACAGGGGTAGCACTCCTGTCTGTGGTAGTGATGTTCTAGTCTGGGTCCTCAGATGGGCCAGAAGCCTCATGGTGCTCCTTTCATCAGGCTAACCTGAAATGGAGTGCCTTGTCCTGCCACAGCTACTTCTCAATCTAGACGCACACAGCATCTCATGGAAACAGAGGCACAGCAGGGAGGTTCCATCTGGCAGTGCAGTGTTGCCCTTAAAAGGATCCCGTGTCACCCCAGCTGAGAATTTTTATCTAGATTAATGCCTCTTGTTTCTGTTTATAAATCAGAAAAATGAATAAATATGTAAATAAATGTCTCATTGCTACTACCAGAAAGAAATAAGTCCAGAATGCATATCTCCCTAATATCTTGTATGGTGAGGACTAATGACACTGGAAAATAATAAGAAATTGTGAGAGGCAAGGATTGCTTTGGATGGTATCTTTTATTGAGCCAATTGTATGGTTGGGATAGACTGGAGAGTGTCCTGAGTGCTGGAAGCAACTGTGGCTTCAGGAGCACCTTGAGCACTGGCAGTGGTCAGGGCCTCAGGAATGCGTGGAGTCTAGAGAACCCTAGCACTCTGGTTGCTATTAATGTCCTTGCTCCAGGCACTTGGGGGCAACAGAAGCCAGGGAGCAGGGACCCATGGGCAGGGGAGCAGGCAGGCTATCAGTCATCCTATGCACTCACATGGAAAAGAGTGGACAGAGCAAAAGCACTGTGGAATTCCAGAGGACACATGGACCCCCTCTCTGTGTGCAGATGTAATAGGAAATGAAGTACTTCTAAACAGTACCTCTTTTCAGGAAGTTCTATTTTGGAGTACTTTGGCCACTTCTGGAAGCCTTCTGAGAGCATGTACATCTATATGGCTGGCTCTTTGAAGTATTTCAAAGGGTTTTCAAATGTTTCAAATGTTATATCTGTCTATAATCTCTGTTGAGATCCTTAATTGGCTTCTCATGTTACCTCCTTTTCATTAGTTTTACTAAAGTTTAATTTTGATTTTTCTGTTTGCCTTGAACAATCCTGTGAACTTTGCCATTTAATGGAAGGTTTACTTCATGCTTTTTTGCCTCCCATTTTGTTTCATGTTCTTTTAAATGCTCTGTACACTCAGCTATTCAGTCAGCATATGAACAAAAGTTTAAATAAATGAATTCCATAAAATAGCTTAGGATGCAGTGAGAAATTAAGTTAGCAATGTTCAGGCAGGATGGAATACTATAGGAATAATGCTCTCAAGCACGTCAGAAAATGCCTATACTGCATCTAAAGAGAAAAGACAGAAGGCAACACTAGTGAGACCTGGGAAGAAAAGGTCCTTGCATTACTGCTGTGTCAGTCCAGTGGATCAATGATAGCTAATCAAAAGGGCCAAATCTGGCCTTGGTACACGGAAAAGTTTTTAAAAAAAAGTTAATTACAAATTAAAAAATTAGGCCTGTAGCTGGTAAAATTTTTGTACAAGTTTTTGTAACTATAAATCTTTTCCTTTTTGTTATTCTGTTCCAAAATCAATAGTTTTCATGTTTGTGAACTTTCTGCAATATTCCATGAAAAATATTTCAATTTGTCAATATAAAATGTTTCAAAAGGGAGAATCAGAATTTCCCAAGGTTCTAATAATGTTTTACAAGCTCTTCAGCTACCTCTTTATATTTAATTGCCAGAATTTCAGGGAAGAGAGGTGGTCTACCTAATGAAGACAGGATAGTGCATCCTTCCATACAGGCTCATTAACCTAGTGAGGAAGGTTTTAAACTAGGCTCAATGGGGGCCCAGAGGTAAGTAAAATGCTGGATGCCATGGGTAAAAAACAAGTAACGGAAGGCAATATGGGAAGTCTTACGAATGTTCTTAGAGTAAATCAGGGAAACTGGAGTTATCAAATTGTTTATATATTAATGTGAGAAGCTTAAGGAATCAATAGGAAGATCTGGAAGTCCTAGTATAGTCATGGAAGTCTGAAGTAGTTGAGATAACGAACCTGGTGAGATAGTTTGCATGGCTGGAACTTTATCATCAATGGATATAACTTGTTCAGAAAGACAGGTGAAAAAGTAGGTGTTGCTCTATATATAAAAATACATTTGTTTCAAGGTGCCATACAAAATGGAAAGTAGACCTGTTCAAAGTCCTGGTCAAGGTGAGAGAGGAGAACAGCACGAGTGATGTCACAGTGGGTATCTCCAATAGACTGCCAAACCACAGAGGGGAGGTGGACAAATCTTTTTTTCAACAATTAATTGACTTGTCCAAATCACAAGGACCTGCTGCTCATGGAGGAATGTAATTACCAAAACATGTCCTGGGAAGGTAACATGATCATTCAGCAAGTTCTTGTTGTATATCAGGGATTACTTTTTGGTACAGGTGGTGGAGAAGTCAATTAGTGGGGGAAGCACTTTTAGAATTTGGCTATAAGTTTTAAGGTAGGAAATGAATGATTTTGCTTTTATTTAGAGAGTATTTTTTTTAAGATTCCCATAGTACCTTACTTCTCTGGTCAGACAGAAAACCTCAGTCTCATAAAAGCCAGCTAGGATAACTGTAGTCTCCTGGCTACTGAATTAAAATAAGAAGGAACTTTAGCAAATGGAACAAAATTGTTTGTAGAACAATAATCTCCAAACCAGGTTTCAGGGATGCATGTGTGGTAGATGTCTTTAGCCATTACCTGTTGGTGTAGGTTTATGGAGGACTGGTTTGGGGAGTAGGGCCCCCCAAGGTCATTCCTGAGTAAGTTGTCGCTGTGCATCTTAGTTTTGAGGCAGGTGATATAACGGTTACAAAAGTCCTTGCACAATTCATTCACCTTCTCCAGCTCCAGCAGATGGATTCTCAGAACCTGAATTGCTTTCACCATCTGATAGAAATAAACAAAGAGAAGAAATCAATCCGAGTCTATCAGCCTCCTATTAGTAACTCCAAATACTCATGTACAGCAAAAATAGCTATGAAAGTGGAAATAGAATCTGCATAAATGCCAAAAATGGCATAAATAACTCTCATTCAGGTGCAAAATGTGAAATAGGATTTGGTCTCCCTGTACAATTTCTGGTCTTGTAGCCACATAGGGTAGAATTCAATTATTTTATGGTCAGCTAAGTGTCCAGACTTGGTAATCCATTTGACTGTCTGAGTGCCAAAAATGTCACTTGCACACAAGTTGGAAATCTATTCCTGGTCATGTATCTCTTCACTCAGAGATACACACCCAGGACCAGAATTCCAACCATCATGTAAGGGACATTTTTAGCACTTAGACAACCACAAATGTCACATAGACGATTTGGACACTTAGATGACAGAAAAGGTAACAGGCCATCTCTAGCCCATTCTCAGCCAATATTTGAGGCCTATGGTGTTAGTACAGGAATGCAGTGTTCCTAGATTGTGGAGTTTTGTCATTACTGATCAAAGAAAATAAATATTTTTACTAAAATATTCCTCTTTCCTTCAGAAACGTGCACTACTTCACTACTCTTATTTACTCAAAAATGCTGCTGCTACATTATTTCAGCTGAAGACAAAAGGAAAGAAAGTAATCATTCACTATATTTAGCAAAGTACCTGTAGTTCCCATTTTAAGGTATTATCAGCTGAAAAAAGTAATTAACTAGTGAAATGTTTAATCTCCTTCCCATCACTTGGCTTCCCAAAGAAGTGCTTTGCCACTGCTTAAAGGCTGTTTTGCTAGTCAATAAGTGCATCTACATGTGCAATTCATTTGACTTTATAAACTCCAGAACAATTTGTTCTAGAGTTTATTGGTTCCAGGCACCATGTTTACATGTGTGCCCTGGACCACAGCACATTGAGCCAGGTTGGAGCAGCCCCAGCAGGCAGGGGATCCAGGGGGTCAGCCTGCCAGCCTGCCAGCCTGAGGCTGCTCCAACCTGGTTCAACATGCTGTGAAGGGACTAGCTTGGGCACAAGGGTGCTCCAGTGCAGGGCTAGCTAATAGACATCCCCTGTACTAAAGCACCATGATGCCCCAGGCAGCCCCATCAGTGTCTACAAATGCATTGTGGCACACTAAATAACGCTGTAGCACGATAGTACTTGTGTTTACAAGTACTAACCTACAGTGGTATTTATTCCTTTACTGTGGCCTCATAGGACAGTATGTGTAGATGCTGAGACTTTACTGTGGAGCTAATTAGTCAACCCCCAAGTAAATGTCTTGTGTGGATTCACCCAATATCAATCAATGAACCCATCTAGTTCAAAGCATATAACTATGGATCTTTGTCTCCCTTCATTATTTTTTCATCGTGTCTCCAGTATTATAAGACAGAAATTAGCAAGAGTTACCATCCCGATTTTAAAAAATTAATGTCCAAACAAATTTTAGACATTAAGCATTGGGTGTAAAAATGCATTTGATTGTTCTGATCAAGGACATTTTTTCTATTAACAAGATTATGGAGTAGCAACACAGTTGTATGCCTATTCTAGAGCAAAACCCAGGCCTCATTAAATGTACCCAATAAATATTTAAGAAATTACACATTAAAACTGCCCTCTTATGGAACTGGAACTTTAAGTTTCACAGCTCAGTTTGAAATCTCATATAATAGATAAAGTTTCAAATATTCACTACAGGGCAATCAATTAAGTTTTATATAACAAAAGTCTTTACATTTCAAAGGTTTTTTAAATGTATAAATCATAGTGCTTATCTTTACAAACAGTTCGCCACAACTGTTCATGGGTAGAATTGACTATGCATATTTAAATGGATTGGCAATCAATTCCACCGAACCCTTCCAGGGGCAGCAGTGGAAAACAAGAAACACTGGGGAGGCCTGTTTTGCCCTTTACTAGTTTGTGTACTCAGAAGGTTATATAAGAGGTACTGAAAATGGGTAAAAAGAAGATGCAGATCTCAAGGTACAGAAATATCTCTCCTTCATAAATTACTATTAAGGCTTTTTCAAGTGTGTCACAAAGCCAGAAGGGAGACAAAAATGAAGGACAAAGAAGTATGGGTAGCCAGGGCAAAGAGGGAATAAACTCCCTTTGCTCTCCATCTACTCAAGGAAATTTTTGAATTAAAGAGTTGAAATCCCATGGGATATATTGGTTTTTCAGCTCTTGCTGCAACACATATGTGTTTGCTTTGATATGCTTGAGAATGTATGCACCCCAATACTCTGTTTTCTACTTCTTTTTTCCTACATAAATGGGAATAATGCACAAGATTAAACAAGATTTAAAAAATGACTGGCATATGCCCTCAGAAATTAAGTTCTCCACAACTATTTGGAAAATGTGCACAAAGAAAGGTGTAGCTCCAGAAAGGTACTCTTGGGGACAGGGTTCCCTCAGACCAGGGGCTCCATCCAACAATCACATTTATGAAAGTCAATATTCAAGGACAAAGGAAAGATTTCAGACACACACACACACACACACACACACACACACACACACACACACTAAATCTCTCAATTATCTCAGCTCATTTGCTTAGGGTCTTTCATTTTATGTTCCTGCTTCATTGCGCAGTATATCTGTCTGGATAAAGAGTTACAGTCCAATGGAATACGTGCGTGGGGTTGTAAAAAATACAGATGCTGAATTAATTGACTGTGTGGCACTCAGCAGCTGATTGAGTTGATAATGGCAAGATCTGACCTTTTTCTAATTTCTAATTATGTGCATCTCGGCTGTGAGGAATACATGATTCTTATTCTAATGATGGCTAATGTCACTGCCCTTTTCATCTCCTCTTTGCCGTCAGCAATGGTGGATAATTTACATGGAATTAGTAGCATTAAATAATCTCACAGAAAACATAAACAAATTTCAGCATAGGATTTGTTTGTCATCACTTGTCCAGACATGATGATGGCCTTGCAAATCTCACATAGTGAAGAGGAAAGTCCTAGATATCATTGGGGAAGGTAGAAGTACTACACCCCAAACAAAAGCCACTCTATCTGCTAAGGGGTTTAGGGTTGTAGCCGTGTTGGTCTAAGGATATAGGCAGACAAGGTTCCTTGGGTGAATTTGATATCTTTTATTAGACCAACCCAAATGGTTGGAGAATAGTTATTAAGCAAGCTTTCGGGTTCAAAAACCCTTCGTCAGGCTAAGGAAACTGCAGCAGTCGGTGTGTGCTCTTCCTGGATGGAATGAAAAGTAGAGAAGCCAGGGGCTGGGCTGGGCGGGGGAGTCAGTTGCCAGGCAGATTGTCCAGGAAGAGCACACACCAACTGCTGCAGCTTCCTGAGCCTGACGAAGGGTTTTTGAACCCGAAAGCTTGCTTAATAACTATTCTCCAACCATTTGGGTTGGTCTAATAAAAGATATCAAATTCACCCAAGGAACCTTGTCTGCCTATATCCTTAGACCAACACGGCTACAACCTAAACCCCTATAGCAGGACTCTGACTTTTGAGCTTTAGGCATTGTCTAAGCATACACATTTGGGTTTTTTTCCCTAAATCAGTCCAGTTAAACTGGTGCAAATCTGGGTGTATAGGTAGGGGTTCAGACAAATCTATCTTTTACTGCTGCAAAAGATTCAGCTACCCAGAACAGATACCCTATATCCTTGTGCAGCTCTTTTATAAAGCATGCTGGGTTCCAGTAGTGTACATCTTTGTGTTGTGTTGGGACAGCACCAACAGGGTTAAGTGGGAATGGGCCCATTTACTTTTTCTACTGCGAGATTATTCTGAAAAATGGGTATGTGAACCAAACTTTTGTGTCCCCCCCTTCCCACTCTGAGCCAAACGATTAGTCAACCCCCACCATTAAAACATTCACCAGATGAGTCTTCCAAAATGAATACTGTTACCTTGCATTTCTTTCTTTCACATACAGATGCATGTACTTGTTGTGGTGACTTATCCCTGTCATTGCCATGTTCACTTGATTCAGCTCAGCTCTGTTTAATCATCATTTGTGGGTTTTTTTCCCCTTTCTCATTTTGTCAAAAGGAAGCATCAGATATGAGGAGAATGCCAGTGGAAACCAGGCAC